AATCAGAGGAAAACTCTTCCAACATTCGACAGAAGGTCAAATGAAAACACCTTTCTTTTCTTTGGCTCGCACCAGAGCTAGAAGAACGTCTATTGATGCTTTAAAGGACCCTCAACAGATATCACAGCAAGAAACTACCACTTCAGCCAGTAGTCTCAAGGTGGCATATGACTTCTTCAAAAATCTTTATATTTCAAGAGTCGAAGCGACGATTGTAAATCCATATTTACAAGAATTTTTTGCCCCTATGACTCAGGAATTAACACAAACACAAAATGAAAGATTGGAAGAACCTATCACTAAGGAAGAAATCTGGACTGCGTTAATGCAGATGGAAGAAGATAAAACCCCGGGGTTCGATGGTCTCCCTAAAGAATTCTGGGAAACAATGTGGCCATATTTTGCAGACGATTTGATGGAATTCTACAACCAAGTCCAGGAGATGGGAAGCATGGGGGAAATAGTTGGGCAAGGGATTTTAACCTTGTTATACAAAAAAGGAGATAAAACTAATATAAGGAATTATAGACCCATCACCCTACGCACGGTAGTGTACAAAATGTTGGTCAAAGCTATCGCGAATCGTTTCATTCCAATAATGCCAGATATCATTCATCCCTCTCAAACGGGGTTCATTAATGGAAGGAACATACATGATAACATTTTGCTCATTAATGAAATGATTAAGCTTGCTCGACAAAATCACCAAAAAGCTGCATTTGTCTTTATAGATTTTGAGAAAGCTTATGATCATGTAGACTGGAAGTTTTTGGACGCTTGCTTAATTAAGTTGAATTTTGGTCCATCAATTCGTAGATGGGTTACTATCCTTCATTCAAATGCTACTACTAGGGTTCATGTCAATGGTTTTCTTTCCCCAGAAATCAGTTTACAGAGATCAGTTAGACAAGGAGATCCATTAGCTCCATTTCTTTTTTTGATTATTATGGAAGCATTAAGAGCTAATCTAAGAACTAACCAGAACCTTAAAAGACTGCAGATTACCGGAATACCAGAAGAAGCCATACCGATTTGCTCTATGTTTGCTGATGACCTAACTATAATGATGGAAGCATCCAAGGAGAATATGGAAGAAATAAAAGCACTAATGGATAAATTCTATCTTCTTTCATATATGGTAGTCGATTGGGGGAGCAAGACACAAGGATGGTGGATTCATTCCCAAGGGGATAGACCTCCTGAGAATCCTAGGGTAAAATGGTTACCATTAGAGACACCAATCAGGGTCTTGGGAGTAATACTCACAGCTAGAGGAAAGCCTAGTTCTAATGATGTATGGATCACTTCCCCAACTTTACAAAAAATGAAGCAATGGAAAAATCAACACACTTCACTATTTGGTAGGGCTCTGGTTATCAACAACGTAATCTTGGCCTCGATCTGGTACAAATCTGCTTTGTGGTCAATAAGTAATAGATCAATCAAGGAACTTAGGACGCAACTCACGGCTTTCTTATGACGAGGAGATCATGAAAGATCACATGTAATCCCTAGAGTAGCTTGGAAGGTACTTATCCAACCAAAGTCCAAAGGAGGATTGGGCATTTTGGATCCTTCAATCCAATGCCAAGCACTTGCTCTCCAATGGCTAAAAAGACTAATATTGGTCATGGATCTAACTTGGCAGGCATTGGCACTGGAACAAATAAGGAAAATGGCTCCACAAACTACAAAAGATGTCAATCCATTGATTTGGGTAGAGGATAGATACTGGTCTATTCCTCGATCACAATCACAATCTCAGAAGGAAGGGGAAGGAGGGATAGTAAGAAGGGATCTGGTTTTAGACAGCTTTTGGGCTACCCTACTGAGAACTTGGCGAAATCTGCCTTTGCCAAACAAATCAATTCCTACTAGGTATGAGGAAATCCTACGCCAACCAATTTTTGGCAATAAATGGATCACGGATGCACAAGGAAGAGTGTTCATAAGTTCCACATCCCCATGGTCCATTTGGGTCAAGCATGGTGTAGTAAGAATCAAGGATTTATGGGACCAGGAAAATAAAAATTGGAAATCAGTTAATCAACTAAGAAAGGTAATTAGATATGCACACAATCTAGCTGAAAACATGGATTTGGTGATTTCATCCATTCCTTTGGTTTGGTTAGCCGCGCTGAAAAAGGGTCCTATTTTCTTGGCTGCAGATTGGGTATGTGCTCAGCAAACGACGGGTTCCAGGGTAGTGGGCCAAATTCTAGATATCCATAACGATGGCGCCCTAGTTAACATCTTTGCACTCAATAAGGACTTCTCTCTATCACAAGGAAATTAGGATAAGGTGGAATTTTTCCATCTTCACACTCACCACAGAGTAAGAGCTTTGTATTGTCCTGTATCTAAAGGATGGACTGTATATGCCCCGAATACTCCCCTACAGGAACTCCCTCTGGATCCAGCAGAATGGACCTGGCGCACTAACAGGAGATGCAAGGCGCAAAAATTACAATCATTATCAGTCAAAGCCTCGTATCGTCTATTACGTCCAAAGCTTGATGTTATAGAAATAATACGGGAACGATGGGCCAGACATTTAAATATATACACAGATTTGCTTAGGCCAATTAAGTGGTGTCAAGCTTTCAGAGACAAACCCGCTAAATTTGCATCACTACAATGACAGATTATCCATAGATGTTTACCAACAATTGACTTGTTGATAGACCATACCACGTTGGAGCAAAGGGGTGTAGCTCTACCGTGGTCTTGTACATGTATGGAAACCTTTCCTAATAGGAGGATTAGAGAGACAATCGAACACATTTTTTTGCAATGTCCGGGAGCAAAATTATTGTGGAGACGATGGGATCATGTATGGAACAAATTGACAGGCTTAGATTGGCCCTGGGACTGGAGGGCGATCCTCCTGGGACATTGGTGTCCTATACTCATTTCACTTTCAACCTTTTTACAAAAAAATTTTAACATTGGTAGAAAGGCCATTTTATGGGCACTATGGTATAAAAGATGTGTATTTACGATGGAAAAGGTAAGGATTGAAGGAAAAGAAATGTCTGAGCTTATTCAACAATACATTGAAACAGAAGTAAGATCCCAATGGGATAAGATTAAATCGGGACTTCACACACTACAACAAAAACAGGACATTAAGAAAAGAATTCAAACCTTCACAAAGGACTGGCTGGGTGACTCCTCAAGACAAAAACTGGGAAAGATAGAGTGGTCAGGAGAGGAAGAAGATGGGACAAATTTCAAAAGAGATTATGAGATCATCTTCCAGGACTGGTTTGAGGTGCAGGCAGGAGCTAATTTGAGGTCCCCAGAAGCATTTCCAGATCTCTTTCCTCCTTCTGAGCTAGCTTTGGTGGATCTTCATTGGTTTGGAGGGGGGGAGGGATAAGAAAATTCCTTTCTCCTCATTATGTCAACAAATGTTTGTGTTCGGATTAGGCAGAACGGGACGGTTTTTGGGGATTGGGAGCTGCTAGCATTTAAATAAGTATCTGGCGGCCAGTTTTTGACCGAAGAGGCAGCTCTTTCTCTTTATGCCACCCCCTTCCCTGATCTATGTTTTACTATATTATATGTAAGGGACGCTGGACCCGGTTTCCAGCAGGTGCAGCTCCCCACCAATTGAGTGGAGCCGTTTCCAACCTAAAAAAAAAACAAAAAACTTCTCCAAACCGGTATTTCATACTATTTCCGCAATTTCCCCTTCTTTCTTTTTAAGTTTTTATGGAACCACCAGTACTTCGCCCATGCATCGACCACAGCGAAAAATAGAGCCACGATGTTTCCACTTGAATGAATCTCGACCGGAGCCGCCAGGCCCGTTCGTCCGAGCGCGTTGCGGCTCGTATACGGCCGTGATTTTCGGAAGCACTGACTCTACTGTATGTATGCGACTCACTGGAAACATCCACAGTTTATGCCACTCTCTTAACCCCAGGGCCGGTTTGCAGCACTTTCTCCCTGTTTTCCCCACACCCAGCCTGCATTAGTGGTGTCGAATACCATTCCCTAATAGCCAAATGTTAGCTACTAGGTCCTGCTGATGCTGGGTGGGGGTACCAATTGCTCATCTGGAGACTGAACCTGGAGTCTGAGTCCTGCCAAGGCTCATTTTCACAAGCATTCAGGTGAAGAAGATGGGCTGGGGAGGCATGGGACCCTCCCTGTATATTCACCTTCCAGGCTATATTTGGACACCTTGTGGGTCCACTCCCTGTGCTACAACTAGCGGTCTGAATACTGGAAGACTCGTCAAGGGTATTTGGGGAAAAGGATGATCATGCTGCAGTACCTATAGGTGGAGGTAGGTGCTTTTTCTGAAAACGGGGAATAATTGTTGTGTCCTTCGAATGCGACCTGCCACCCAGGCAATTGAGTGAGCATGAAGTAGAGCTGATGCACATGGCAGCCCAGGTATCACGACCAGTGCGATTGCAGCATGCATGGTTGCCCTGGTGCAGTTGCACATGACATTCTAACGTCTTGTGCAAAAAGACAATGCATGCACTGACATGGTATTCTCGATCACTGCCGAAGTGTTCTGGGCGAAAAAAGGAATCAAGCAAACACATGCGTGCACATGATATGCTCCATCCATAGCTGTCAATGCCACATACGCACCTGGGCGATTTCACAAGCACAAATGCATGCATAATTGTCCTTAACACCGGGACCGGCTTATGCAACCTTTTTGCACAAATGTGAGAGCTCATCGGGGGCGTTGCAATCGTTTGAGGGTTACTGGGATGTGGGTCCCTACGGGCTACACATATCACTGCTCACATAATACACTCGTCATCCTTTACCCTTTACTGTGTGATTGAGTGGGAGGGAATGAAGGAATTTTATATTATTATAATGATATTGATGGGCGGATGGGTTTTGTGGGCAACAGCTGTGAGAATACAGAAGATGATGCAGCTGAACCATTTTCTTTGGAAGTTTGCTTCTCGTGCTCGTGTGGTGACATGCCGTGGCATTCTGTTTCTTCCTACGTTATCTGACAGACTGCTTCAAGCAGAGAGCTGCCACAGAAATGCCGCCGCGGGAGGGCCAGGATGCTACTATGGTACATCTTTCTTTCATTAGGTGCTGTGGGGCATCTGTTATTTGGAGAAGCACAAGCAAAAGGTGTGTGTTTGTTTTTCCTCAGGATAATGCTCTCCCGAAGGATTTACTATTTAGTCTTTTTGTCATATTGAGGATAATGGAGAAGCACAAGCAAAAGGTGTGGCATCTGTGATGGCCGACCTGACCATGAATGTGTTGATGATAAGGATAATGGCAAAGGGGAGAAGGGGGAGGAGGAATAAGAGTAGGCAACAGGTTAAGAGGATGATGTAGTAGAAGATGCAAGTGAGGGAGCTGGTGGTGGTGGGGGGGGATCAGCAGGGGGAGAACCAGTGGAGTCAGGGGGCGGCAAACGATTAGCCCCGTCCTCAGTTCCACCATTCAGATCTCTTTCTAGTGGGTGATGTGTAAAAGGTTGGATTGCAGTCGCTCTCCAGTCTGTGGGGACACTTTCAGCAGCAACTACAATGGTAGGGTGCAGACTATCATCCCCTGCATCCACTTTGACAACACGGATGTCGTCTGCTGCTGCCAGCCATTGCGGCATCAACATTAGCAGTCGCTGGTCCACTGGAGGGCTGATGTTCCTGTGTTCCGAATTGGCATTCAGCGGTAGTTGGGCAAGTGACCAGCGTACCATGCAGCGAAACCAGTCCGTAAGCTGCGTGACATCTGCAGCACCCTTCCTCCTTTCTCTGCATCGTGCTCTGTCTGTCTGTCTGTCTCTCTCTCTCTCTCTCTCTCTCTCTCTCTCTCTCTCTCTC